TGCATCCCCACCGGCAGTGTCGAGGATCCCCTTCTCTCCGCACCCTCAGCAACACTTGTTGGTTGATTTGTTGATGGAGCCATTCTGACAGGTGTGAGGGGATAGCTCATTGTGGTTTTCATTTGCATCTCTCTGAAGATTAGTGATGATGGTGAGCATCTTTTCATATGTCTATTGGGCATCTGTATGTCCTCTTTGGAGAAGTGTCTGTTCAGGTCCTTTGCCCATTTTTTAATTGGAGTTTGTTTCTTTGGTGTTGAGTATTATAAGTTCTTTATAAATTTTGGATATTAAAATGTTATCAGATGGATCATTGTGAATATGTTCTCCCATTCAGTAGGTTATCTTTTCATTTTGTTGATGGTTTCCTTTGCTGTGCAAAACCTTTTTAGTTTAATGTAGTCCCATTTGTTAACTTTTTCTTTTGTTTCCATTGCCTGAGGAAATATATCAGAAAAATATTGCTAAGAGAAATGTCCAACATTTTACTGCTTATATTTTCTTCTAAGATTTTTATGGTTTCCAGTCTTACATTTAAGTTTTTTAATCCATTTAATCCATTTAATCCATTTAATTTATTCTTGTGTACGGTGTAAGAGGGTGGTCTGATTTCATTTTTTTGTACTTACCTGTCCAGTTTTCCCAACACCATTTATTGAAGAGACTGTCTTTACCCCACAGTATGTTCTTGCCTCCTTTGTCAAATAGTAATTGACCATAAAGGCGTGGGTTTATTTCTGGGCTCTCTATTCTGTTCCATTGATCTATGTATCTGTTTTTCTGCTAATACCAGGCTGTTTTGATTACTATAGCTTTGTAGTATATAGTTTCATATCAGGTAACATGATTCCTCCAACTTTGTTCTTATTTCTCAAGATTGCTGTGGCTATTTGGGGTTCCATATAAATTTTTGGAATATTTGTTCTAGTTCTGTGAAATACACCATTAGTATCTTGATAAGAATTGCATTGAATCTATAGATTGCTTTGGGTAGTATGGACTTTTTTTTAAATATTTTTATTAGAAAAGCTTTTAAAGCAAATCTTTTATTTAGAAAACAAAAGAGTCAAATCAAAAGCTTTATGACTCAACAAATACACATTTAGAAACAATTTATGGACATTTTTAAATTATGTTAATTCTTCTTATCCATGAGCACAGCATATGCTTCCACTTATTTATGTCTTCTTCACTTTCTTTCTTCAGTGTCTTATAACTTTCTAAGTACAGGTCTTTTACATCCTTGGTTAAACTTATTCTTAGGTGTTTTATTTTTTTATTTTTGGATACAATTGTAAATGGGGTTGTTTTCTTAGTTTCTCTTTCTGATAGTTCATTATTGGTGTATAAAAATGCAACTGATTTCTGGATATTTATTTTGTATCCTGCTAATTTAATGAATTCATTTATCAGATCTAGTAGTTTTTTTTTGGTGGAATCCTTGAGCTTCTCTATAAAAACTTCTTTTGTTGGCTCTAAAAGTATCACATGCTTGTTTAGGAAAATGCAGAAAAGGGGAGAAAAAAACCCATGGTTCCCCCTCCCCCTCCCCGCAAAGCTCATCACGGTGACCAGCTTTTTTCCTCTATAGTTTACACAGTTGAGATTCTACTGTATCCACAATTTTTGTATGTGCATTTTTCACTTAACATAAATATAGGAGTGTTTCCCTATTTGTTACAAACTTCTTATAAACAGTGATTCAGAGACTATAAAATATTCCATCATGTGGATATCCTATTGGTCCTAAAAAATAAAATAAAACAATAAAAAGTATATTGGAGAGCCAGTAACCTGCAAGGTAGCCAGGCCTTGTCTGTGGCTGTCCCACTGCAGGCCTCTGAGACCTTTGCCCTAGCCCCCAGTTATTCCTGATGTGGGACTGCTGATCATGGCCAGTGTCAGCAAGAAAATAGTCAAATCAGCACTTTCCATGGAGACAAAAGGCCTGAGTGAGAGGTGTGCTGGGCGAGCCTCCCTCCCGTTAGCTCCAGCCCCTTCTACCCTGCCACCCCATCATGCCCAGCTCCACCTTCCAGATTTGCATCATTGTTTGGCTGCAGGAAGCAGAAAACTCAGACTGAAACTTCAACAGGATAGAAGCCTGCAGCTCACTTAGAACAGGCCTAGCAGCCACAAGGGCAATCAGTGCTCCTCTCAGGTGAGTCACGCCTTTGCAGCTCTGCCCACCCAGCCCAGGTAAGAAGTGAGTACCCTGCAGGAACTGAGGGCAGTCAGTGCGGGAGGGGGCCAGTGGGTCTTCTGCCCACCTTCTGAAGTTAGGAGGGGTTGGCTGGACCTGCAGGCTGGGTGGAGGTGAGCTCAGGTGCATCGCAGCAGGATCTGTGTGACCTGAAATCCTTGCCTCTCTTAACCCACTTGTGCAAGGAGGGGTCAGGACAAAATGATGGTTTCCTTTCTAATAAGGAAACTTCTCAGTCCACCCCTGATGTGTTGATGTCCTGGGAACTTCAGCCACTTTCTTGGTTCCAGAAGGCTCGGGTGTCAAAGAAGGGAGGGGTGTCTCCGGGGCTCATGTGCCATCTGGTCTGGGTCAGAAACCCACCCATTTGGACAAATCACACTCTCAGCTCCATCCCACTTGCCCTGTTTTTTTCTGAGCACTCCCTCTCACCCTGGAACCTGGGTGTACAGACCAGGCGGGGTTTCGAGGGGTCTGTGAACTGCCTGGACCTGTCTACAAAACTGTGTGCGTGTGTGTGTGTGTGTGTGCGTGTGTGTGTGTGTGTGTGCATGCAAGCATATCACATATTTCTGGGAAGTCTCCATGGATTTCAGTCTCAAAGGAGTGCCCCTAAATCTGACCTGGACTGGCCTCTCCTTTGGTTTGCTCTGCTGCTCCCTCACCCTTACAGTGTCCCAGCCCCCCAGCTTTAGCTTGGACCCCCAGAGCCTTCCAGCTGGTTTCTCAGGATCTCAGCCTGTCCCCATGAGCTGCCAGGAGAACATTCAGAATGGCTTCTGGTCGGGCCTCACCTGCTTTCCATCATCAGGATCTGCATGGCCCTGGCAGCCATCCTGGGCTCCCTTCCCACCACTAATTCCCAGAGAGGGAGGGGTGGACAGAACTTCAGGAAGAGGGCAACCAGAAAAGCTCTGCTCCTCAGTCTCTGTGCTTGTCCTCTCCATGGGAGAGAAGCTCACAGGAGAAAATCCAAACTCCTAATATGCAAAGTCCTTTTGTGACCTTGCTCTTTGAAAAAAATTCACACTTCTTAACTGCTAACTACTCATTAGGCACTCTTTGTTCTAAGCCCTTCACATAGATTAATGTGAAGGGCTTGACTACAACGCTAGGAGGCAATCTAACACTAGCTCCATTTATAGATGGGGAAACAGAGGCCTAGGGAGTATTGCCCATCAGCTGGAGGTGATGGAGCTGGATTCTTACCCCTGCCTGATGCCTTGGGTCTCATCTCTTAATATTGGGACCACTCAGCCACATGGAACAATTTGCTCCCTTGTTCCTGAACACAGCCCTTTCCACCTTGAATTCCCTACCTTCCCATCCAGTTGACACCTCCTTCAGAAGTCTCTTCTCCTCTGGGCTCACTCTGCACCCTCCTCCCCAGTTGGTCTCCAGGTCTGGCACCCCTCTCCAGCTGGGGCCCTCCTCCAGCCTCCATCTTATACCATTCATTACATATTTGTTGAACTGAAGTGAAACACTATCTCCAATTTATAAGTGGGGAAACTGAGTTCCAGAGGTTAACTCATTTCTCAAAGATTATGGATACCATGGCAGTGGAAGGATGGTTGGTGGCAACTTAGTAAATCCATCCATTCAACAAGTGTCACTCAATATCTACCCTTGGCCAGGAACTGTAGTGGGTGCCTTAGGGGATATAAACGGGACTGTGCCTGGTGCCTGCCCTCCAGAGCGAGTGAGTCTCACTGTACAGACCACAATCTCCCCCAACACACCCATGTTCCCATGCTCAAGGGAAATGAAGGTGAATTTGAGCTAGGCTTTGAAGGGGAGGGATGATTTGTCTAAGGGGGGACACACACTACTGATAGAAGAACCAGCAAGGCAAAGGCTCAGGGGTTATTAAGACATAGAGGCCAACCACAGCCGGGCACCTATGGGTGTTGGGATTCATGTAATTCTTATCTCTGGCTACCACTTAGCCTCTGCTCCCCCACTCAGGGTGGTGGATGGCACAGCTGTCAACTTCTCTGATATCATAGGAGAGAGATCCTGGCGGCGGGGTGGGGCGGAGGGCTCAGGGTTCATCTGTGTCTTGGGTACCACTTTTTGCAAATACATGTTGGCAGCAAATCCCCAAGAACCTCATGTCATTTATCACCACCCACTTTGGCCTCAGGACAGCTCCGTAAGACCTGGAGTTTGAACCTCGGTCACATCATCCCCTCCTCATTTCTTCCTGTCCCGTCCAGCGTCACCTCTTCTGGGAAGCCTTCCTGGGACTTCCCAGTTCCTCCCCCAGCTTCCCAAGCTTCCATCTCTCCCAAAGGTCTGGGCCATCCTTGTGAGCAGAGCAAGGCTGAAGAGTGTTCTTTTGCCAAACATGATTGAAGCACCAATAGGTGCCCCGCGCTTAAGCAGGTGTTGTCGTACATGGGACACCCTCAACTGACCACTGTGAGCAGACTAGGAGATTCCGCGGCGTTTTCTGCCCGCCCGCCCACTGACGGCTCGGCGCCTTGGCCCGAGAACCGCAAAGCTGTGAGCCCG